GGATCTACTTTGTAGATAACAGAACTCATAGGTCTGACCTGTAGATGGGTTCTGCGGCTTAGTGTTCAGCAATGAATGCGTTCAAATAGATAACGACTGCTTCTTTCAAATGTAGAAATTTGTAGTTTATTTAATGATGTTTGTAGCTCAGACTATATGGCATCGAATGAAATTCGTCTTTAACTTACTATATATTATCGACGCTTTTTAACCTATGCAGTTTAAACAATGTTGTTAAATAATTTCATTTTGAAATAACTATATCACGGTTTAACGTGAGATTCGAATTACTGCACGGCAGAGGACTTTTTCTGCTATCAGAGGCGAAACGTGGTCCCCAGTCTGAAGACAAATCACGAATCGGCATGTCTGAGAACTGAGAAGAATAGGCCCACATAGGTCTTACAGATATTAACAACAATTAAAATGAAAATTTCAATAACGTGCAGAAAATAAACCAGAAGTCGCTGGGAAAGGAGAAATCTTCAGTGTCTGAGAGGTTCACTGAAGGAAAAGGTAATGGGACGTTTTCGCTAGGTAATAAATCTGAAGGGAAAAAAACACGACTCTTATTTGGAGGATATTTGGAGTGAATCTACGGAGCCGAGGGATTATAATTAGGTCTGTTTTGTTATTGGAATAACTATGCGATGGAAAAACACTCTATCTGCTTGTTAGGCGTTCTGTAATTGACACAGCAGCAGCAGTATATGTAACATATAACGAGCATTGAACACTTTAACAGAACTTAATTTTAGGATAGAGAAGTTAGTCTGGAAGTTACTCGCTTAACTTAGGAAGGTGTCTCAGCAATGGTTTCTAAATTGTGGTTTAAGAACCTCTATTAGTAGGCGACATGTTTTAAGAGATCACAGGCGATGTGGTATAGGTAAAGTGTGGGTTAACACAGTGATAAAGCTTGGGAATCAATGAAATATAGAAATTTCTTACCACTGTTTAGTTCTCTCCTCCTCCGCTATTCTATGAAACACGATTTCTTCAGCGTGTCTTTCTCTGCGCCCGAAATCCACAAAATTGATTTTAATTTTCCGATTAGAATCTTCATTTACGAACTTTGCAATGCAAAGAATAACGCATCCCTTCAAGAAATGTTCCCTGCCTTGTTTCAAGAAGAATTTTCCATGGCAATCGAATAATGTAGAAGCCATAACTGTATAGATACACGGTCAACAAAGCAACAAAGTCCATACATAGACAAATACAATTTTAACTGTACTGTACATGTGCACAAGGTGTGAAGTATGTACTTCCCCGATAAAATAATACTTCAGAAGTGTACCATGTGACCGAAGTGATAATTCTTATCTAAGCCCGTTGTATATTTTGACCCTCCATAGTGCTTCAGACGTTTCTTCTGTGCCATTCTTATAGTGATATTGCCAGTAAATTAAAAGTTTAGATATTGCTATTCTTGGAAACTGGTAGCCATTCAACACTTAAATTTTAATACCGCTGGTGATGGAGTGTTTGTGAGATAAATGCGCATGAAGGAATACTAAGTACATATGGACTTTACTTTATCACAAAACACTTAACAGATCCGTATGGATAGGCATGAAACTTGTGAGGTCACTCAACCGTAACACTAAATAAGAGAGATTATGATAATTGATGAGTGTAGACTAACACAGTGGTAAAAATAACATAATCAAAATCATAAACATATTCACAAAATAATTATAATCATAAACAAAATCATAATCATAAAGATAGTCATAAACACAAAATAATCATAAACATAATCAACATTATCATAAATAATCACAAACAAACATAGATACAAACATAACCTAACCTAACCCAGTCCAACACAGAACCATCATCACAATCACCACGATTACAATCATCATCACAATCACAGACACCACCATCATAAACATTAACACAAACATAATTATAATCATAAACATATATATAAACTATACTTACCTAACCTAACCTAACTTAACATAATTTAACCTAATCTAACCAAACCCAACGCAGCACAACCCAACACAACAGAACCTAACCTAACATCTACATAGTCAAAAAATATTAATAAACATAAACATGAACATAAACTTATCCTAACGTAATGTAACCTAACGTAAATATACCATACCATACCTAACCAAATCTAACCTAACCTAACCTAACCTAATCTAAACTAAACTAACCTAACCTAACCTAATCTTACCTAACCTAACCTAACTTAACGTAATTTAACCTAACCTAACCTAATCTAAACTAAACTAACCTAACCTGAAATAACATAACCTATTCTATAATATTCTAATCAATACCTAACTTTGATAAATCATATTTTATATATTTTGAATCACTTGCAGGACAGCAGGTTTTACGAGTTTTTCCTACTATTTCTAATTTTCTTTGAATTCAGCCAACAGATGCAGATGGTAAGACAATTATCAATGTCATGCATTCACAGTACACTGTGTTCGTGTTTGTTGGATGTCTTGTGTTTATTCAATTGTCTGCATGCATTCAGCTACTCGGTCTGTACTTGTGTTTGCCAGCAACAAATCATCTTCAGATAAATGACGGAACTTAATTTGACAGGAGCCATAGGAGCACACATAATGTTCCGCTTTATTTTCTGTTTTGTAACATTTATTTGAACATTTTCACTACCAGTTTGATTTCTTCAAGTGACGGGATACACAACACACACCTACCATAATGCCAAATTTGCCTTCAAGTGCCATATCTGTTATCATAAACGAGGTCTAATTGCCGGGTTATGGAAACATAATCACTACATGCGGAGTGAAGAAAATTTCATGACCAAATATAAGGTTCTGCTATGTCTTAGAGTTATAAGACCAACAAATACAAATTTCATCTTGTCCCTCTATACTCCCTGTGTTAGGCTTGCTATCATTTTACTGTGACGTTGAAATTAAATTACGTAACGTATATACTCTGGGGTTTGTTCCTTGGTACAGAACAGGATTTTCCTATTTCCTTCATAAGCTTCACATATCAAGTTGAAGTTTGTCATTAAATATCGTCAATAAATCAAAATTATTTGTGTGGTCACCATGTTATTATGTTATATCTTAACAAATATATGCTATTAAAATTTGCACCTTTCCTATACAAAGCTTGAAGAATCCACATTGAAGGGCGTTAGTCCAGTTATCGTTTGCAAAAACGAACTGTCTTAAGTATTTAGTATCCTTGTAGATGGTCATCTTCAGCTGACCTTCTATACGACTGTAAAGAATTGAAGAAAAGTCATACTCTTGACCAGAAGTTGCAAAAATTTGTAAGTCGTTGTTTCAGAAGATCTCGAATCAAGAGCTCTGGAGCAAAATAGGACAAGAAAAATTGTAGCGAAAATTAAAATGAATTCGACGTGCGCTAAAGGAATAAAAATGAAAAGCGGGAGGAATTAGGAAGAGAACGAGGAGGCTATAAGCTATAAAAAGGTCACAACACGGGATGGGATAAGTTAGCTGCTCTTTGTGGACGCCGTATGCGCTTACGAGTATAAATAATATTATTAATAAGATATGTCCGGTAATCACTGGTTTAAAAGATGTTGATAGAAATATAAAATATCTGATGCTCCAGGCTGTTTATTTATATTACAACAAACAAAATTAAGTGCATGGTAGACAGGCTGTAGAGGGTTATCTTATTATGTTAATTTCATATCTATTTTCTAAATATTAACACATAAAATGACTACAACGTAAATTTGCATTTTTTTGTAGTAAGATTAATATATATATTTGAAAGGTGTTTCATAAAAATTATCATTTTGAAATTATACCGAGCGGATTAACGTAACATTTCGAATCTCGGCTGGGTCACCGGATATCGTGACTGATATTATCGCGGTTTTTCTTAGTCTCATTAGGCTAATACCATGATAATGATTTAAGATATGCCACCACTGAAACATTTTGTAACATTACTCAAACACCATTCAATATCATCTTCCCATCTCACTGGACCATATCTACCGCCATTAAATCTTTGAGTTTTGATTATTAGCTGTCCCGTTGTGCTTGTAAATTTTTTTAAGGTCAGTTGCGAAGGCGCTTGTATGTCTGCTGCTTCGTATTAGGGATGCTTTGGTCAGGATACATGCTCTGTTAATTGACGAATATTCTTGAACTTCCCAGAAAAATATCTGCACAGATCTTACAATAGTCCAGTACCGCGTCCTTCCATATCCTTCTAAACCTTCTTACATAAACATCTTATTGTTTATAATTTGATGCTACATGGGTAAATCAGTTTAGGCTAAAACTCGTTGTTACAGAAATAACCATTCAACTATAAGTAGCCTTTATTTCTACTTACACACGCCTATCCTAATATTGCGCAATGCTAGACTTCTCATTTATGATCTTGCACTCGTTGTATTGTGTCGTAAAATCACTCATGGCCACAATATTGTTTGTAACTTCGTGTTACTAATACACTTTGTCGATTGAAAACATGATATAATATTTATATAATATAATCTTATTGTTAACTTGTTATTTGGACTGAGACCCAGATAGAATTTTGAGCCTTCTGAATTGTTCCTCGTCCAAAAAGGAAGAATAAGTAACTGATTCGAGTAATGAACTTGTACGTACTTGCCTTCTGGTAACTAAGCAACTGTGTTGTGCAGCTGACAGTTATTGATATGGTCTGGTAATTCCCTGTTTTCGCGGGACCCGAAAATACGTAACGGTGATTACAAAATCCCGCTCTTAGAAGCTATTCTGGGCTGACTGTGTCTATCACATATATAGCCAAGACTCGAAACTGACTTCTTCCGTTTTGGGTTTTCTCCATGTACATCCCATTCTGAATAATAATAGGGTGAGACATTCTAATAGGCTTAGATATGTACATATGTTAACCATGTTGTATTTAGTGTTATAATATCGGTGTATTTATTGTATTCTTATGAAATAATCATATTTATGGACAGGAATTGGGTTTACAGCACACCAAAAGTAATATAAAATAATTAATATTTTGTCAACTAATTTATTTGTGCTTCAATTAACAAAATTTTCATATAATAACATAAGACGTGCATTATTATCATAATTATGCTGTTTTGATACCTGAAAAATAGTCTGGAACATTTATCAGAACATTAGTGTTGTTATTTGTGTCTATGTAGACTATACATTAAGACTTGGCAGAAAAATCGACGACATTCAGTAATGATCTGCAGCCTGAATTTAATTAAGCCTTTAGAGAAGTTTGGACACACTGCACTATTTCAGTGCCGATGGCTTCTGCCTTTTCTTCAGTTGACTGAACGATTTTGGTGATAGTAGCAGATACATCTGGAAGAACTTTGTTTAAAACTTGCTTTCCCTGTTCGATTTCACTCTGCACGTTTGTGAGAAGACTTTTGGCCTTGTCTTCGGAATTAGATATTACCTTAGTAGAGCAACTAACGCTTTTCAGGAAAGATAGTTTTGCGCATGCCTCCAAAGCTGAAGTAACCTCCTTAAGGTATGTCTTTGTATCGTTGATTGTGGAGTTAACCTTACCGACGAAAGGTACAGTCACCAAGCTCTCCTTTATAGTCAGAGTTTGAACCTGTTTGTCTGAAAAACAAATCGGATAATTACACACATGCTTTATTTAAAAAATTAATTTATGATTTAATGATATAAGCTACCATGTAGGTTTTGGGTGATAATCTTAATTAGGGGAATCCTGCTGTGTAATATTCTGTAATAATATATTAAGTTAAGATTAAGAATGATGTAAGTAGTCTTCGATGAATGAAATATGTTGATACGAGCTGGAGGAAGGAGGAATAAAATAAAGCGGAAGAAGAATAATAAAAATAAAGCTGAAGATAAATGGACGTTTATATGATGACGATTTTAAACCCATCTCAAGAAACAATGGCACTATAAGTCGTGAACGAAGACTGATCATTGCCCATTTGAAATAAAACTTCGAGTATGCAGGCAACATATTGTTTAATTTACTAACTATTGAATAGTATTTGGCGATTGTGGTCTTTCGGGCTTAAGGCGCAGCGTGGTCTTGTAACCGCACCACAACCCAGAAGATCATAATCGACATTTTCGTCGCCGTAGAAACTTCTGGTCTCGTCAGTTGGGTAGACTACTTACACGCATCGTCGACGATGGCAGAAAGGTTTTGCTTTTCTGCTTCTAAGCATGCTTGAATTTTGGGAGCCGCGTTGGCCACATCAGAGAATTCTTTGGTAATTTCATTTTCAATGGTTGGCACTAGGTCGTTGAGTTTCGATTTGGCATCGTCAAGGAGATTACTGAAAATTTCGTTGGACTGGTTTTCGAACGATCCTAGCGTTGTTTCGGCTTCGTTCAAAACATTATTAAATAACTGTTGGGCCTTTTCAAGAATATCGTTGACGCTGAAACCTGTAGCGATCTGAAAAAAGAAAAAATAAGTTATTTGACTACTGACATGTGTTTTATAAGTTAGTAGCAGATGACGAGTAGCCTTTTCGGTGCTACGAATGAGATCTCTTGCTCGCAATAAGCTTTGAGTTCTGATAATATTAACGAATGTAAATTTTCCTGCTGCATGTTGACACTTCAGGCAAGTATTTATTAACGGTAATCTTTTATTTTTCAGACAGTTAGTAGTGGTTGTGTAACTGAAGGCAGATCTTATCATCAGTTTTGATAACATCCTGTGGCGAGCTTTTACCTTTGTCTCGCAACAGAATGTACAGTAGACGTTCTCGGCCCGATGACCTCGTTTAGCGCATCATGATTTTTTTTTTGCTGCCTGCTTACATTTTTTTAATATTGTGTAACCTCGTATGATGAAAAATATTTGTCTGGTTTTTGATAATTTAGTAATTTTTTTAAAAATTTGCTATGATGTTTTAAAATGCTAAAAGACTGGCCACAATAAAACTTTGCGATACCCTAGGTTGACGTAGTCCGAGGTCTAGGGAAGGCTGAAACCCCTGCTGTACAGTATCAGTTCTTCTATATAAGATTGACGAACAGGTTGTCCTTTTTATCACAAGACTGGGCGCGCACAGTCGCCGAATACCGACAGACGACGCGCTCCGCTCTATAGCTTCGGTCTTGCCATAAGAAGGAAATATCCTTTCTGTGAACTATACGCTGCGTGAATTTTGTATGAAGATAAAAATTTATGATACTGAAAAGAACATTGGTGCTAGTTTGTAGGAGTATTGCTGCATTGTATTGTCTCACCTGTACGGCGCAAAGCGCTAGGATGATAATCTTGACTTTCATGTTGCTGTTTCTCTCCTCAGTAGAACTGCGATCCGTAACTAAAGCTGCCCGTTTTTATACCCGATTGAAGTAGAAGACTCATACATCTGATGTCAGAAACATCTGAATAAATACCATTAATGCTACATACCCATTTATTATAAAACCTTCAGTTGGTTTCTGTTTGCATGGCTTTATATTTTGAAGGTGTTTTAGATAGATTATGGCGATGTCATAGAAGAATTTTACAGTTAAGTTCACTGCGAAGCAAATGGATGTTGCTAGTAACGAAACAAGATGCCTCTGTCTTAATTTCGGAAATAATACCAATTGTTTGTTTCATTTAAACGACTTCGTATTCTTTATTCCGTGGCTATAAGACAGTTTATAATAAACAGTAAAATAACTTATTTTACTGTGCATCCATTTTCGATAGCCGATACCAAGCTTTGCGACTCCAGTTGTCGTGGCAACGATAAAAGATACCGTTATTTGACAGATGAACCTCAGGGTGGCAGTGGCCACGACGCTATAAAACGACGCTAAGCGTCGCAAAGCCTAGCGCCATGACACCGAATCTGAAATGTATGTGAAGCCAATGAAAGATTCGGAAAGCCATGGAACACGATTCTGGCAAACCTTCGCCGAGTTTTACGACGCGTATAGCAGAGATGAGTGTCGGGAACCGTACGACTCTAGCAAAGCAGCGCGTATCGTAGCGACGGAAAGTCACGACGCCGATCATCAAGACACAGATAAACTTTATGATACCTAACGAAACAAAACCAAAAAGAAAAAAACATGAAATGTCTAGACCTAACATAACCTGATCTGACGTAACGTAACTTAACCTGTCACAAGTTGTCAAATGTCAAAACTTGTGCCGTGGTGTGCTGTGGTATCCTATCTTAAACTTGCTAGTATACGAAAGTAATGTACGGAGTAAGGATGATGTGGAACTGTAGCGGACAGGATGACTCATATGTTCCTAGAGAAAGAATGGGCAATGTCCTCACGAATGTCTCTTAAAAGAATTGCTGTAAGTAATACTGCAACGAGAAACGTTCTTAGATATAGGGATAATATTTTTTATATTATTTAACAATAAATCTGTGTGTTGGATGATAAGGTGTGTACCAGGCTTTCGGAAAAGAAAGATTATTAAAAAAATATTCCCTATAATCTTTTCGTGGTAGCACTACGGGCAATCTATTATTTAATAATTCCGTCCTTACCTCAAAGAAAATACGTTTTATTACGAAGATCCGCCTGTGGACGCTGTTTGAGGGAATAATCGACGTTTACACTGAGAGTTTTACGCACATGAAAAATTGCAGATAGATTGTCAAGAAGGTGGAAAGATACGTACCATTAGGCTTCGAAGGGTTGTAGAAGTTATCAACATTGGGTTATAATGATTCGCTGACATTTCAATTTCGCAAGATTCTTATTATTTGATATTCATAATCTGTCATTTCTATTAAGATTTAAACCACTTTGGACAAACTATCTTAATTATTGCAAGATAATACATCTGTATTGTTTCTGTAATATCCTCAACAAAACAATTTCAGTCTTACATATGATCTTTCATCATCATCATCAATTTCTGATACCGTACAGAAAATATTCTAAGTAGGACTCGAACCGGGACAGTTTTTCAAGTTTGTGACCTTTGTTCTTATAGTATCTTAGCCGGAACAAATAATTTTGATCTTGGCACCCTTCTATCGCGCGTGGTTGAAAACTTGTAGAATCCATTCTCTTGAGGGCTTAGACCCAGGATACTTGCAGAAATTTGAACTTTCTGAAGTATTTTCCTGGTATAAATGTGAATGAAATGTCTGCAGCAAATTGGTATAACCCTTCTCGAGATGTAAATGGACACGTAAGTTCTCAGGAAGAATTTCAGTTTTATATCTGTAAGACTAAATTATTGTGCCACGGTGGTCTAGCGGTTAGAACGTTGGCCTTGTAATCCTGGGGTCTCGGGTTCGATTCTAGGGGTTGCCCGAATTTATAACTTGTGTTGGGCAAGGCCGTGGTCTAGGCAACACGGAGTTTTCCTCCGGCGGCTTCCCCGGTTTCTCCGTGGCATCCCAACAATTACTCCATTCACACACAGAAGAAGGCAATGGCAAACCACTTCTGGATCATCTGCCAAGAACGTATATGAACAGGTCCCAGTCCGAGAAAAGGATGGAAGGATCCTGTTCATATGGACCTGTCGTCAGACAGAACACTAAATAAATAATAAAGACTAAACTGTAGACGAAAGAGTCATGAACATAGATCGCTTTATGCACTGGAGTTACAGAAGAGTTTGACGTGCATGTGGTAGAAATATAACTATAATACAACCATTTATATGACAATAATAACATTTTATTTCCTCAAAGATAGCATAGAGTTATTATAAGAGAGATATGTGAATACACATCCATATCTGAAGATAAGGTTTAATATTAACTCTGTAATGCAATAAGATTCATTTTGTTGTCTATACGTCCATGTAAGATGAACGCTTGAAGATATTATTCATTTGGAGATGCTGGTTCAGATGATGTGCTGTTAGCCGCTGCATTCTCAATGCATTTGTTGAAGTCTTCACTGATTTCATTCAGTTGCTGAGCAGCATTCTGGGTGTATGTTTGAACTGAACTGGACAAAGTGCTAGCAAGCTGAGATATAGAGCTCTGTGCCGAATCTAATACTTCCTGTAATTTAGACCTGAAAACAGAGGCAGCAACTGTCGCTTTTACAATTGCATTGGGAAGACAGGTGATTGTAGTGAAAATGCCTTTGTCTCTGCATACTGATAAATTTACAGCTATTTGCTCAGCTGTTTCCAACACTTGTTTGCCTATGTCTTTCGCCTTGTTGATGTAAACCTGGGCATCTTCAGACTGACTTACAACTGCAGCCTGGAGTTGGGCGTCTGTGAATACAAATACGGAAAATATTAGACTATGTATGATTTGAGGTTTTCATAGCGGTGAGTATGAAGATTTCTGTGTTCTGGGTTGTTGCGCTGTGTAGTCTGATCAATGGTTACCAACATTTCAGAGGTCATACTGCCTCCGTCCTGATGACGGAGTATGACCTCTGAAACGTTGGTTAACATCTACCATACTATACGGCGCAACAACCCAGAAGACAGAAATATTCAATATTGGACTAGATTATTAAAACTTAGAAACAGACCTAACTGAATCACAGACAAACACGGTAACTAAGCAATTAACGTCCAGTCTACCCGATTAAAATATCAGACAAATCGTCTAACATATTATCTAAATAACAGGCATAGAGGATATTATAATCATCGTGATCTCCGTAATGATGGAGATAGCAAGCTCCTCTGAAACGTCGGTAAATTGCTACCAGAATAAACCACGCATCTAAGTAGATAGTTATATTCATTGCATGATTTGCCTTGAAAGTCACTGAACTCCACATTAAAATATTTAAAAAATGTTCATATTAAAATATAGGAATATAAACGTTCAGCCGGTTTATCAGTTGACACTGTGTTGAATAGGATTTGAGGTTCCCGCGGCGACGAGTATGAAGATGGCTGTTTTCCGCGCAGTAGCGCCGTGTTGTCTGGTTAGAAGTTTAATAACGTTTTAAAGGTACTTGCTGCCTTCATCATGATGGAGACAGAAAGGTAAATTTCTACAAGAATGCAGGGCGCTACAACACAGCAGACAGCCATATTAACTCTGTGATTGGCTCCATCGCTTACTTACAAGCGTCGTTGGCGACTTCCGTTGCTTTTTCTTCTTCCTGTTGGATGCAAGCTATAACTTCGGGAGCAGAATCTGAAATATTTAATTTATCGAGGACATTCGCTTGTTGGTTTTGTAACTGTTGCAGCAGGGACTCAATTTCAGATTCTCCCGCATTCAGTGCCTTGGATATGCTTTGTGTGTATTGTTGTTCCAGGGTTTGGACGTCGTCAATGATACTTCTAAAGTAGCTGATAAATCCGTTTTCTTGAGCCGCGGCGAACTGAAACCAGAGAATATTTTTACAGCCGAGGATTAAATGAAAGTTATCTTAATTGTATTAATATTTCTCTTTATGAAATATGTAATCTGAAAAGTGATGTTTAGTTTGATATTTCAAGAACAATGTTACTCATTTTATAACGTGTTTCATGGCATCTAACTTTTTCTGTATGCGACTTGAAGTTCTCCCGGCAAAGGTGGAAACCAAAAAATTCTTTTTAAACTTTGGTATATGTAGGCATATATTTAAGTCCGCGCGGCTTTACATTGACAAGTGTACGTAATGTGTAAGCTCTTATGTATTTATCATCATTTGATCTAGGAACTGGTGCTGGTACTCTTTCCTTTGCGTGCCAAATTTCTTTTCACCCTCCCTCCCTCCCACCCTCCCACAGAACCGTCAAGAACCTTAAGGATTTTACATACGCTTATGTGTCATTCTCCAGGAAATTGTGTTTCTATCTGTCAGATCCTTTTTTGAATTTTGTAAAATATATAGTTTACTGTCCTGGCTCGAAAGTTAAGTGAACTCCATCTCCCAGTACTCAGAACTTACACAAAGAAATTCTCTCCACCAGACTCCGTGACGAACACATTTTTGAAACCTACCTGCATTGCTTATAGAGTATATGGGATGAATGTTAAGTGCCTTCCTGTTCTTGTTATGAATTACTTTTTTAACTCAATAAAATAAATCTAAATTGCCGATTATATTCTTAAGAGTCTACAGTTTAGGGAGCTTTAATTATATTTAATTTAAATTAATTACTTTTATTTTTATTATAATATATGTTTTTATGAAAGATTAAAAAGTTTTCATTCCCCCTAGTTTCATTTTGGCGATACTTGGTAATACCTCTGTCCATTCATCTATTTGTGTCTGACACGGACAAAATGTCGATTACAAATTCAGACGGAATATTTTGTTTCGATTGCTGATAATTTTAACGAGTTTCATCCTTAACTACAGTTTTATTAAACAATACTGCATTATGACTTGTGTATATTGATTAATACACGCCCCAGATGCTGAAATATGTCGCACATTACATACAAATTGTCAGTTTCGATACAGAGTTGTAAAATAGTTGGGTTTGTTAGCTTGTGGTGTCTGTAAATGGGACATATTCTTATATCTGCAGCGCTCATGTGAGCGAGAGTAGTCAGATCAATTATTGAGTGACGTTTTAAAGATTAACAAATTGTTTAACCTGAGCAGCGCAAAGCGCTATGATGATGATCTTGGCGTTCATACTGGTGCTTCGTGTTTCTGTATCACTGACCCGGAAGCTGGAATAACAATATTTTATAGTCAGTTGAGAAACGCGAAACTTCAGTAGTGGCTCGTGTAACAACTGACTAAATATTAAGCATGTTCGTTCATTAGTATATGGACTAGTATAGTTGTTTATTTAATATGTTCACGGAACATTAAGACACACTCAGGAATATGATTTATTGCAGATATGACGTCGTAACTTTATTATTATGAGGTAATGCTTGATGTGCGAGATTTTTATTTCCAGTGCAAGTCTTGTTTCAGGTTAAGGTGAAAGTGAAATCCTTTGTGTCAAAATTGTGATCATTCGTTTTACTATCAATACGGTAATTTTCACAAATCATTGATTCATTTTACTGCATTTTAACCTAGATGATTTGCATCATGGAAAAATAAATTTTACGAAATATTTAAATTAATGATTTTACACTTCAACAAACAAACAAGCACAATCAATGGGAGATATTATGTATATCAGTAGTTTCTTTGTTAAAATATGTAGGGTAAATATATGAATATAAAGGGTCAATTTGTTGTTTGGGCGGTAGTAATTAGAAAGTGGACAATATTGATTTGCTCACGTTGTCAGTTTGCTTGTTCCACACTGGACACTGTAGTAGAGAATTAACTTGCTTTACTTTTAAGTTTAAAACACTTTAATTTCACCTAATATCCTTTCAGTGTAGGGTAAACTGTAAAATATTAAAGTGAAATCCATTAATTTCTATGAATAAATTATAACTTCCTTGGCAAATAGTTTAACTTTTTGAGGCCAGTACATGCCTTTAGACGTATTATAGTAAGGGCTAGAAACAACATACATTGCTGTAGCCTGCATTACGTAATGTGCTGTCCCGTTGCTACAGTTTCACTCTATTTTTTTTTTGCTACTAATGAAATATATAGACATCAGAAGTTGATTTCTTGTAACAACGCTAATTTTGTCAGCAGCGGAAGGAATGTGGTAATGGATCTGTTAATAATATGCAACAAAACTGTCGACGAATATCCCTGTTATTCACTACATATAACATTTTATCGAGAAGTATTCATTTTGTATTAACTCCATAAGTAGTAATATCACAATTCTGCGATGTGTAGATCAAATGATTGTTATTGGCCGATGTAAGTTTAAAGGGATGCAAGTCCAAGAAGTATAACCAAAAATATGAGAGATCCCTAAAATACTTTTTCTGATATTGCCTTAATTCACAACTAGTACACGAGCTTCAATTTCAGTGTCTAAATTGTGTAATCATGTTTGCTTATATATTTCTAAACCAATGAACGTTAATATCTGTTGTATGGACATAATATGTTTATTTATGCACATTGTTTACTTTGCAATTATATACATTGTACATACAAATGTTTTAGTGTTTCAGGTTTTTGACTTAACAAAATCTGTATATAACTAAAATAATAATCTAGCCTTAAGGAATTATAGCGTGGAGATAATTTCTATGACTCAAATAGGCAAGAGAAGAGATCCGCATTTCCTCGATTTTAAGAAGCCATCGATTTATGGAAGTCAACCTTGATTTAGTGTAAAAATTTTCGGGAAAAAAGATACTATATTGGTTCTTAGACCAATCAGAGAAATAACTGCATACAACGGAGTCCTTCAGAACCTGATAAAATCTCAAGTAGTCCGGCAAAATCCCGTCTTGTATGGAAGCCGAGTGTCTTGTCCACAAGATTGTCTCAGTTCCTATTTCGAGCCAGGTTAATCGAGACCGCGTAACCCATAGCCTGCTAAGTTCAATGTTTATATTTTGTTTCCATCTACGCCCAGTTCTTCCGAGTGTGTCTTCATGAGTGTTGCATTCTAAGTCAATGCCATTGTCCTTGATTTTAGTATTTTATTTATATTTATTTTAGAGCATAACTATGATGCTGCATATAGAGTTTTCTCCAGTCACTACATTCCTGTTAGTTTAAAATAAAACACAATGAAATTCAAAATAGAATGGAGTATATTAACCAGCATTTAGAAAGCATTCTGGTGAAGCTGTGACCCTTTAGACCTGCGTTTTGGAGGTGTCCTTTAAGAATTTTACATAATTAACCTCTTTGTGTTTGTTTTATGGTTTTACTCGGTCTCTCAAAGTGAATATCGGAATAGTACTTCCGTTATTTTCTCACTCTCACCTACTCAGCATTCACGATCTATTGCCTTGTAGAATCGGCGTCCGAATGAGCGTATTTAAATCTACGAAAGACCGGATCACTCAGTAGCCATCGGCTGGATTGCATTCTGGGCGGGTTCTACACAGCGCAAGCCGACGTTACCAGAACAAGTTACCTTAATATAAAAATTTAATTTGTCCTTAATCCTGCTCAGCCCGAAAGTGACTGTCATGTTCTCGTGTAATAGCACGACTTTGACAGAATCCAGATGTAATGCTTGGTAGTCGATCTTTAAAGAATATGCAACTTTTATTAATGTATTATGTTGTAAACTTCATTTAGCTATTGCTTTTATGACGATTGCCAATAAACGATTGGAGGCAGGTATATTTAATTTGATATGGCGATAGAGCTATTTGTAACTCGACACGTTCCATTCTTTTGACAATATCCGTCTAAGTAATCAGAGACACACTGTTCTTTACTAATAAGTTTTTCCATCAATAACAATAATTATAGTAATATATTATAATATGTTTAAACTTCTAAGCAATTAAATATATAAAGAGAATTGACTCAATTCACGCTATTCCAGTACCTTAGCCCGTTATCTATGGTATCTTTTGTTCTGTCACAAAATTAGCGCTTAAGTAAGACACTGACAACAGAAGGAATTTTATGAAAGGAAATAGATGCAGTACGAACTCTACCCGGACGACTCGTTTGATTTTAAATCATACTAAATACAAAATTATGAAATCGTTACAGCTTCCTTGTCTGTCTTATTAGTATAAGTTTTATAAATGTTTTATACATTTGGATTCTGACTAAACTTTATTTAAGATCCGGGAACTTCCATCTTGTACAATATTTTCAAATTCTGTTATTAGTGGGTGCTTAATCAACGTCCCCGACTACTTCAGCATTGGTGAAAGGTATTTAATTTTTCTGCAAAGTGTATAGGATGTCTTTGGAAATTGAAACTACTTAATTTTTAATTTCAAGTTTTATTCCTCACACAGTAATCAAAACTAAGTGTATGGTAGCCAGTACAGAGTTTTTACAAAATTGGCTGTATCAGTGTTTATTGTAAACAAATTTCCATCACTGAAAATGAAGTTGTAGATTGTACTCTGTAATACCATAATATTAACTTTGTTAACTGTGTATCCACACACAGTGACGTGAACACTCGGAGAAACAGTTGGTCGGAATGTTGTAAGGCTTCGAGTGTTTGTTGTAGCTAGATGGAACTAAGCCGTTCCAGCTGCATCGCTAGAATCGTCTGTTGTATTGCTGGAAGTTAGGGCATCTTGGATGCAGTTTTCAGCTTCCGTATTAGCGGCCTGGTACTGATCCGCTGCCGATTGTAAGGTGGCTGCGGTTGGGTTAGAGGCGTTATTCTGGTCTGGGACCTGTGGTGTAGTGTTGATGGCAGAGTAAAGTTGTGAGGCTAAATTCGTGGCGTCTGTCAAGGAGGTAGCAAGACATCCGGGCACTTTAATGATAGAAGTGATACCTGAGCCGGCGCATGTCGAGAAATTTGAAGCCAAGCCCGATGCCTTACTAGCAATACCACTGATGTTATCGATAGCAGACTTGATTGGTGCTGTTTGGCTCTGGATTTCTGCTTGAAGCTGGTCTTCTGTGGACAAAGAATTGAAGACAAGTTAGTCTAGTTCCTGAAAAAAAAGGAATGTGGGAACGTGCTGCATATACAGCTCATCCTTGTATATGTTATTAATATTTTTCCTTCAAATACCCACAAATTTCTAATTATAAAATTCGGTGTTCAATTTCTGTGCATAGTACGAATATTCTCATACACAGAGCTATTACCACGACGCAATTTTTTACATTTATCTATAAGGAATGATTAGTATAGAATCGAAATTTTTGTCGTTAAGTACTTTTTGAAATCACACATATCTGTCTGCAATGCTTATGGTAAATCGATCTACAAACTTCCAGAAGTCAAACTGTAATTTATTCATTATTTATCGATAACTTAGACTAATACACACATTCTGACTAACTTGTTCAGAATAAGAGGGAGGTCAAGAATGGTCACACGGGCATGAGAGATCTACGAAAGTGTCTTGCGACATTAAACTAAGAGTGTTTGGTGACCTATGGAATATTCTTGTTCATGAGTATCACCAGATACCTATCATGTTCTTTAAGGACGCTGCTTCAACTGCACAGATTAAAGCGACGAAAGCGATTATGTGTCGATGATGATATGGTACGAAACTTGTGATCTGTTTTTGGATATCAGTCACAATGCTGGGGAAACGAAGAGCCACTAAAAATTTGTCATAATTTTGCTTCACCAGACGAGATTTGAACATAAATATGGAACGTTGCGGTTACAGCAGTGTACATTTTACCATCTGTAACTTCCAAATGTTACCTTAATAACGATAACGATCACTGGGGCCAGGAACGTATCTGTTGTACTGTCAGCTGATAATGATTTGAAGCGTAGGTGAAATAATGATTTGGAGGGAAAAGCAAAATACCGAGTCAAAAACTTGCCCAATTACAAACGTATGCAGCCCCTGACTCGTGACACTGCATAATCACTTACCATTTGTTTAATAATTTCCAGTTACTTACTTGTGCTGTTAAATATTGAGGCGTATTCTTCGCTTTGTGTTTCCAAGCAAGCCTGAATTTTAGGCTCAGCTTCTTGAGCACTAGAAAGTAGGGCAGTAAGGTTTTGTTGGGAGCTGCTTAGAGCAGGCTGGAACTGGGAAGAGGCATTGGCTAACACATCTTGGGCATAAGTCTGGGCCTGTTGTGTAAGTGAGGACGCCACTTGGGTGGCCTGGTCAACAATAGGAGTGACCTGACTTTTCAGTTTGTCCGCGGCATCACTGAGGATACTTCCTGCGGCGAGCTGAAACCAAAGATATTTAAGATCGTCTGTCGAAGTTAGCAGTGAGAAACCCTCTGATCAATGTATTTTTCTTCAGGAATTGTGTAATCAGCGGAAAACTGTAAAATTTGTAATTTTAGTCACCTACACATTTTAAAAAAATGTTTCTTTATATTGGTGCGTATACTGCTGATAACTGTCGAGTGATTTGAATGAAAAACGTTTCCCTCAGTTAAGTACCTAACTTTCACGCTCGTTTCTCAGTAGCGTTTAAGTACCTGCTGAATTTCTAGGATCCTTCGAACTGCCCCCTGTAAGACATTTATTTCTACTATTGGAACATTTGTTTAAATTTATGCAAAAATAAATTGCTCATGTGGATTGAATTCGGGAAGTACTACGTTTCATACATTTCCGTCTAAAACCTCAAAACTTAAAGCATAAAAACACCTTAATTTTTCTTGATATTTTATACAGAACTTAAGTTCATGCGGAAATAACTTAGAGTTTCAAGAATGATTTGCTGAGGAAAATATTTTATCTAAGAAATATTATGTTACTCTACGATGACAGAAAGTTGACAAACTTAATCATGTGGCCACTTTTTTTCTGTTTTGGACTGTTTAAATAATTAATTATTAAATATTCGGAATGTGTAGCATACAAAGTAGTAGTAGTAGTATTGGGATATTTGAAGCGATAGAACGGTTTGAGAGATGGAAGGACAGCGTTGTAGTACATAATGGAGTATTTTGGTGTGAAATTGTGAAGTGCGTTGGAACAAGCTACGATTATTGTTTTTGTGGACAGAAATAAAGCTTCCGGTTCCAGAGAAGCTAGAGAAATTTTGATAATAGTTGTATATATACATCAGCTAGCTCAGATTAGAGTCCGGTACCGGGATTTTGTGAACACGGTATTGAACCTTCGGGTTCCATAAAGAAAATGGGCTATTCTTTGACAAGCCGAATATGCAGTCGACTTTTCAAATAATTTCCTGCGCCATAGAGTGAGTATTGTATATACATATAAGGTAGATGTGTTTATATAAGCGTGTATACTCGTATTTGTATGAGCCACTATATCCTAGTCAGTTTAGTGACTCTGTTCTATTCTTCGGAGACTGACTGCAATTTTCTTCGCTGTCACATGCAGAATAATCTTGTGGTTCAACTACTTTCTGTCTTGTGAGAGTGCATAATTTTGTCCTCGTCGCCGGTATTCGCTCATTGTCGTCAAGAATTCCCCCGCCTTTTATGGAACCATAACGTTCATTATTATGTTTGGAAGAATCTGTCACCGGTTTCTATCAAGAGCTACATAAATCTAGTTCATATTTTCAAACTAATTCTGCAAGACAATTTTTTTTCCTTTCATCTAAACTCATGCCTTCTAAGTAGTCCGTTCACTTCCGGCCTCCCAGCCAAATGTTAAAAATTTCTTATCTTCACCTTGCATTCTGTATGTCCCTTCCATCTCGTCATCCTTGACTTGATCAGTTTAGTAATATTTGTCTAATTATGAGGCAATTGTTTAAAAGTACTCGGCAAAATTTTATTAGACACTCTAGATCTGTGTTCTTTCGTCATGGTATTTTAAAATATTACCATAAATACAGTTTTCTAAACTTAAAGTCTAAATAATTCAATATATCCGTTTCTGGAAGATGTTTCTTAGATCAATAAGCTGTCTCACCTGTACAGCGCAAAGCGCCACGATGATAAACTTAGCGTTCATGTTGGATGTTCTTGAGCCAGTTACTCTGTGCCCTGTAAGAGGAGTTGCCCCCTTTTATACCCAATAAACAGACATAGGTGACGCACAAACCACCACCTGTATAAATGCAATGTAAAGTTTATTGATAGATACATACTGTATGCTTTTTTTGTAACATTACATAATTCATTATATGGAAATAAAACGTATCCGAGGAAGATTCTGCCACACCGAGAAAAGAAATTGTTAAGTAAATGTTACGAAAATGTAATTTAAGTATTGGATTTACAATTTTATTTCAAGAAATTTATTTTCTATTTTCAATAAAACCGTATTTCAGTAGCAGCGGAAGGAATGCAGTTCTGAACCTGGACTAAAGTTTTACATAAGAAGTTCTAAGTTAGTTTAATGAACGATTTTCATTGATAGGAGTCTTTCTAAAAAGGTAATATTCGATTGGTTTTCAAGAAATCTACGTGTTTCCCCGATGTTTACGTACATCAATTACGTAACTTACATTTTTAGAGACGCTTTAATTTTTCAATATTTTGTTTGAATTTCCTTCACCATTAGCGAAAAAGTACTGACAAAGATCCTATACACATGGAATGTATCTACCTCTCAAAGACATTACGAATGATGGTAGTCCATGTTAGCATGAAACCATGCAATATATTTAGAACAATTTGACATCTAAGTATCTGCAGGTAGGATTTTGAGCCAGTTGCGAACATTAAATTTTTTTATCCATGTAGATAATAGGAAGGGGGGATATTTCTGCAATGCAAACTATGTTCGGAATTTGCCTATCTTATCAGGCGCTTTCGCATCGTTGTGGAACGACTGTTAGAATCGCTTATTCAGTTTCTCTGTCTGTGTGCATGAAACAGTTTGATAAGCGGAAAACCGATTTTGATTAAGCTTGCTGTTGGAGACTGGTGCGAAATATTATTAGGATGTTGAAGGTGGATGATAAAGCAAAGAATTTAGCGCACAAGAGGGAGATAATAAATGCGTAGAAAATTTTGATAGAAAACCTGACGGGAAGAGACGACTCGAAATACGTATGTGTATATAGGATAATATTAAAATGACCCATTGCCCTGATGATGGAGGCAGTAAGTACCTCTAAAACGTCGATAAATCTTTACCAGAATATAGGCGAAACATCCCAGAAGAAAGCCACCTTCATACTCACTGTTGTGAGAACCTGAAATTTAAAAAGAGAACTATTTTGCGCCGAAAAAGGCGACAAAATAAAGACAGGCCGTTTGGAACTCATTGGCAAGATGAAAAATGCAAACAAAATTTTAAGTTGAGAAGCTGAATGGAAGAAATAACTTAGTTGATCAAAGCCTAAATGGCAGAAGAGTATAAAACGCATATGAAAGAAGCAGGATGTAAGGATGTGAACTAAAATTTGTCTGTGGAAATACTGAGTCATGTGGCGACGGGATCTTGAAAAAAAGATAATGAACATTCGCTTTCCATAAAGAGTGGAACATTTCTTGACTAGCTAAGTGACATAGAATCCTCAAGAAGGACTTTGGTACGTGGCGTAAGTTAATTTTTCCAAATGATTATGTTCATAAGTGTATTATATTCGAGGAAATTATGCAATTCAACCTTCATATTCACATATTTGCTCTTGCTTTTCTGTTCTATGCCATGCTACTTCGACAAGCAAAATGACCAGCTGTAGACTGACCACGGACAGGATTTTATACTCTGCAGAGACGTTTGGATGATATTAAAATGTATCTATAATTGAATATGAGAATGTGAATTGGGAATAATAAGCTCAGGACAAGTGTCGATATTGTTCTTAGACCATGGACCATGTGGACTTGTATGGAGACACGTTTCGGAGGATCATACTGCCTTCATCTTTAAGCTTAAAACTTTGCATACCGCGTAGTATATTATAATATAAAACAAACAAACTATTAACACTATAAATGACACTAGTGCCAAACCATTTTTGATTACATAATTAATCCCCCTTTTGCCACTGATGATGACCTCTTGAGGTCGAAACGCGTGTAGCACTAGTGTCATTTATAGTGTTAATAGTTTGTTTGCTTATTTTATGTTCATCTTTAAGGTTGTATTCCTTCAGACGTCTCAACCCGCAATGCTGATCCAAAAGTGAAATCATATTATGTTGTGATGTGGATGTGCTCCTGATTAACTATTTCGCAATCTTTTCATCTGTATTGGCTTTTGCACAACTTTCATCCCTACGATCAACTGTACAAACACAAAGTATTATGTAATTTTTGCATCAAATTACTCATGCGGTGTAACACTCACAACAACCTGAACAATCAATTGTTTCGTCTGGCTAATGTTTACATATGTAATATTTGATGATACGTTCTAGTATTACGTGCCTGTTGCTGAGTGTTTAGACACGTGGACGTACGAGGTACAGTACGAGGTAAGGTCGATTGACGTGAGTCATTAAACATGCAGACATCTTTGGATTGAAGAGCGAACTGCTGATATAAAGCAAACTGAAATACTTACCTTATTTTTCAGTATTTATGCTCTTTTTTACACAAAGTGTATAAATCAAACGATGATGGGGAGGTCATGCCTGTCCTTCAGTTGTTTCATCTCCGAAATTCCTAAATACTAGATACCTTGGAAGTCGCCAGGCGACTTCCAAGGTATCCAATCACATCAGAACCCTGATGATGGGGACAGAGTTGGTTCCCGAAACCAGTTAACGCGGCTGATTGTCCGAGAAGATTTTATTGATCATATACGCTATTTCACTGGCTCTGTTCTTGATACAGAATTCAGAAACATCAGAAGAAATAAATTGTAAAATTCATTTTTCTTTTTGTGATACCACAAATGTGATTGTTCTTTTATGGTGGTAAGGTTTCTGTCTAGCCCGCCGATCACATATGTAGATCTGATCTGAATATATATAACTCTTATTCAATTGGAAACCAATCAGCCTCGTCCATGGGATATTAATGGAGCACATTTTGTGCCATCTCTTAGCGGATTTACTGAACTGTACGCTGAAATTCTTAGGACTTGGTACTTGAGTCAATAAATAATGCAGCGGGGTGGCAGTTTGTTCGCTGATTCTGCTGCTGAAAGTATAAATTTGCTCAATACTGTGGTTCAGGCAGATGTTTTTCTGCATAGCAGTAAGAAAGATGATGTAAAAGAAGATGGAAAAAATGTTACAATGTGGAGCTTTATATTCGTACTCTGCAGCTAATATTAGGGTCATTACTCGTGTGGGTAGTTGGGAAATGTACAAAATCTTAGTAGGAAAACCTCAAAGGAAGAAATCACGTAGAAGACCTAGGAGTGAATTTCAGGATAATATTAAACTGAATCTTACATAATAGTGTGCCTGAATGTGGACTGGATACAAGTGGTTCGTGATAGCGTCCAACGGCGGTTTCTTGTGAAAGAATTAAGTAACCATCAAGTCTCATGAAAACCGACATTTTTGATCAGCTGTGCTACAGTAAACGTCCAAGGAGACCTCTACAAGGAGTTAGTAAGCCGATAATTTCCAATGTGTTTCTTCTGTAGGGGACTTAATATCATAGGAGGGTCTCGTTCGAGCCTTGTCTGTTGACCCAGAGCTTGTAGGAATCGCACGATGAGATTCTAGGATTCTGCCGTTAGCGTCGTTAAATAAACAAATGACTAATACAGAATTTAATTCAACATTCTAGGTTACAGATTTTTATCAGCTAACGGACCAAATAAAAATATTTTGCGTGGTTGCCATGTCGTTTTATTCCATTTCCATATAAAACGTTTCTTAAAAAAAATTCAGGCTATTGAATTTGAAACGCCATGTCGTTTTATTCCATTTCCGTATAAAACGTTTCTTAAAAAAATTCAGGCTATTGAATTTGAAAACCTGGAAGCTTATCCAGGGGAAACAAAATATTTTAATGTCTTCAGGACGACGTTCTTGTAAAGAAGAAAGAAAAAAATCGTATAAATTATAAGTAGGAAATAAACACATAAGTACAAATATAAATACTCGTTTTTAAACATGAAAATAGAATATTATAATAATATAATCTTTTTATGCTTTTAGGGGAAGCATACTTTATTTGTGGAATGTGCAAATCTGAAGACAGTGTAAAATGGAAACTTATAAGAAACAAGAAGTAATAACTTATATATTTATAATTTGCTCTCAGCACAATCAATTTAATTAGTCATGAAAATTAAATACTACATCAGTATGTATCCTTAATCTAATGATTTTGTGCGTACGTCTGCTTCAACATTCAGTCACGATATTTTTTGTCCACATACTATGTTTTACATTTGGTTGTAAGAGCAGACATAATTTATTTATGAAACGGAGATACCCTGTGTTTTCTTGCAGGTACTAAGAAACATTTTAAATATTACTTGCATGATCTTCATGCTTAAGACTTACAGATCTGAAATTCTGTCAAGTCTAATTAATCTTTCAACATTTCTTTCTTTCCTAATTTTGAATACAAATCACTTCAAGCTGTAAAACTTCTCCACGCGAACCCGAATATATGGACAGCATAAGTACATGAAACCCTCAGGGTAGATAGCAGCTAAAGAGATTGCTAAGTGCAGGAAGAGATTTGAAAGCCATGCACGTGACAGAATGGATGGAGACACGTGGACGAAGATAGCATGGAATCACAGACTGGAAAAAAGAATTAGAGGAAGACCGAGACGAATGTGAAGAGCAATTTGAGGCTGGTACAGGAAGTTAGTTGCTAATACCCGAAGACGAGACGAGACTTGACATTTATGGACACAAACCTGTTTATGTGACTGAAGTGTCGCTTAGTCCATAATATGCTTTCTACGAAATAAAACTCATAATTCTTATTTCAGACCACACTTTAATGTCAGCATAACCTTTTCATTGCTGTATTTTCAGACACTCCTGACCAAAACGTTTAACGCTTTTTGCACCACGAAAGAGAATTCTCGCTCAGTAATACCAACTTCTACTCCAAATAACTTTAATATTTAGTACTGTCAATTAAAAGACACTTTCCATACTTTGCCTTTTCGAATTCAAACTCCTGATTCTTTTAATCACGGTAATTTCGATATGTTTATGAACAAAACCTACTTGATTGGTCATTGTAAGATTTAAACTGATATATTATTATTCTATGCTTCTGCAGTTTCTGTTTCTTCGGGGAAATGCCTGATGTAATTTAAAATAACGACATTACAGTGCAGGATAAATGTTGTCAGTCACTCAATAATATTCTTAAATTTAAGTAACCCGTCGCTGTGCTCACTTGAACTGACATCAGAGCCTATCCTGAACTAGCTGAATCTCGACCTCAGTTTAAATCCTGTCTTTTCAAATACATTTTTGAAAAATATGGCACTAAAATTCAGTCTTCACATCGCATATGTGCTAATGAGCTCATTTGGTACTGTGCAAATGAACGTAATTTGGACTGAAAAGGAGATAAAACACAACACCTGGGGAACTAGTGTACTTGATATTGGCAATAAATGGGTTAGTATTATTAAAACAGACTGTGCCTCAAGAGGTTTTGAGAATATAAGATAAAGTGAAGACAAATCATACTTTCATTAAATTCATATATACGAGAAACTAGAGGTAAGGAAATCATTGTGTTGTTGGAGTTGAGTCGACCCCAGACGTCTTTCCGTTGATACACTCGATGGTCTGTTGTGCTATGTCCGATCCTTGGGACTGGGCGGACTGCTCAAGAGACGCGATAAAGCTGGCCAGATCGGGCAACACATCGTCCTTGAAAGACTGCAGAATTGGAGTTTTATCGAGTACTCCGTTACTGAAGTCGAGTATTTGTGAAACTATAGAGTCACTCAGGTTTGCGATGCATTTAAATGACAAAACGCATGAAGAGGTGTTCTGAGTCGTCTGTTTCAAGAGATCCTCTATCTTCTTACCGATATCTTTAATGTAGTCGTATGCAGACACAAGATTCTGATACTCGTCTCCTACTTTGGTTTGGATCTGACTCACTGCAAACAAAAAAACGTATTTAAGTTTTGGGTGCAATTGTCAAGGATAGTGCGCAATTTATTTCTAAATTAGGGATTTGTTGTGAGCTATTTCAATTAATTCACAAAACAAAGGCGTAACTTAGAGAACTGTTGGTTAGACTTTGTGTCCCAGACTCGAGGTTACTCAACCAATTTAGTAACATCAAGAATTTATTCAAGTAATGGAATTCTTTCTGGTTTTATGTTTGTCTGTTGTAGTTATTACATATGTCAGTTTATTCACGAAGATGTTAAAATAAATTAAAGTGTGTTTCATAGAACCAGCATTTTGTGTGAAACTCAAGCTGAACTTCAAAATGACTCATTGCAAACTATTGATACTAGATGTGGATTGTAAAACTCGTTGAGGTACATACCTCGTTATTTACAGTATTTTTCAATGTGGTCAGTGTTTAAAAAATAAGGGAATAAAGTAATTTATGATAAACATACTTGTATTTTATTAAGGAAGAATTTCAAAAGTAGTGGGAGGAAATTTTATTGTACATATTTAAACGAAGGGCGGTTAAAATGTCTGTTTCTTATTGTGGATTTTCACTGTTATCAACTACATACAAAAATCTTTTCTAACATTCCTCCGTATGCTTTCTACCTTACAGTTTAGAAATTTTTGTTTTCTTGTTTGTTGCCTAAAACCACAAATATTAAATTAAAATACAAAAGTTTAATCTTATTTGTTGTTTTGTATGGATATGTTGCGTCATGAAAGAAGTTAAATTGAGAGTGTCTGAGAAGAAGGTGCTGAGAATAATATTTGAATATGAGAGAGATAAATTGAGAGTGTCTGAGAATAATATTTGAATATGAGAGAGATTGGCTGGTGAGTAGAAAAATTTTCATAATTAAGAGCTCCAAAATTTGTAGGTAATCTTTGCTGAAGAATTATATTAGAATGTTCATATCACGGAGAATGAGGTGGGCGGGGCATGTTGAACGCGTGAGTAGACGAGAAATTTATGATAATTTTGGTTCGAAAGTCTGAAGGGAAGAGACCACTCAAAGGACCCTCTTCTGACTTGTCAGATATGAAATGTGTCGTATAAAAACTTAATTTTCTCAAAAAAAGTGTTAGGCCGTGAGATACAGGAACGAAATTTGAAATATGAATTTTCTCAAAAAAAGTTTTAGGCCGTGAGGTCGCAGCTAATAAATGAGATACAGGAACGAAATTTGAAATATAGCTGTGACGTTATAAAAGGCTTGAGGTTAATCCCCGGAGATCAGAATAACAATAAAATGATTCAGTGTGCAATTACTCGCCTGTTAGTTTGACGAGGTTACTTATAGCGTCTTCTTGAGCTTCGAAGCAACTGGAGGCTGCAGATGCAATTTCAGAGTCGGTAAGATTCGCTTGGACAAAGTCATTCACAATGCTCTTTATTTTTCCCGAAATGTCGGATATGCCATCAAAGGAACTGATAAATGTATCGAGCAGTTCTTTGGCATCGTCTTCAAATTCGCTGACTTTCTGTTTAAACGCGGTGACTAATGCTGCCGGTCCACCCAGAAGAATGCTGATAATGCCGTCTTCACTTACGTAGACAGATAAATCACGTTTTGTGGTTCTGTTTTGTGGGTGGATTTGAAGACTATCTTTGATTTCCTGGAGTTTTTGTTGGACTTCAGTTTTGAGTTCATCAAATTTTTGTTTATCGTCTCTTATCTTTTCTAGTAATTCAGAATATTCTTCTTGTGGTACTCCAAATATGAGTGTTTCTCGATAATCCTGCTGAGTGACAATGTCTTTTATCTGATCATCGAATTTCTGTTTATCGTCCTGTAACTTGTTAAGAAATTCTGAACTTTGCTCTTGCAGTTTTGTCAAGTTAACAACAAGTTCCTTTACTTTATCTTTGAATTCCTGTTTATCATCCTGCAACTTGCCAAGAATGTTATAATTTCCCTCTTCGGGCAAAGAACTTCGCTTGAGTAGTGTGTCCGCATTTAATCCCTGAAATCACCAATGCATGTATTACAAGTAACAAGTAACAGCAGTTTATTTAAACCTGAAAGGCCGATGGGTTATTTTGGATTCTCATCTGCAGTGCTACCGTAAATTTTATTTTTATATGCAAAGCTAACACCTTATAAAAATCATGAAAGCCGAGCAGTATGTTTCCAGAATTGTCCTGGATATGCATGGTTATTTAGCATTTATATTTTGTTTACCATCTTCTGAGTAACAGACTGCAATATATTTCTCCATTATCTATGGCCATCAATGTCATTTCAGTGGTTTAGTGACTAATTAAATTATAATCAAGAGCTGAGTGTTAACTACGGAGAAATGCGAATTTTTTTTTAGTTTTGCATTTTGTACATTTCTTAAAAGTTACATATTTTTCCAAAATATGAAGCGTAATTTCTGTATTCCGTATTCAGTGGCGTTAATCTCATTTCTACTACACACGTTCGCTCGTCCGTCATGTTGTTGTTACTGATTATAATAAATACGAGACTGGCAAAACGTTGGTACTAAATTTCTTGAAACTCAATCATTACATAACTTGAGAAGAAGCGTAATGTAATTATCAACTTCATTATTCGAACATAAACTAATAATACTGGTGCAGGAATGGCAGAATTAGCTTTGATTCTAATTTATTGAAGTTTGTACGAATACACGAATGTTTTATGTTTCGTTAAATATTTCTATATTACATCCAAAGTATTAAAAACAAAAGTAATTTTAATGAGAACTATATCTTGTATCGTTTTATAAGATAAAACCTTTTCTAAAATAACATTTATAAAGTTTGATTTGATTTTATGGTTTACATTAGACTCGTTCAAAACAAAAACAGACTTAAACAGCGCCATTTTGTGTAGATTTTATCTAATTTCTGTTAATGGTCTCGGATATAAGCACTTGGATAGGCAGATATAAAAAGAACAAATACAGACGAGGCTATATGATTTCTTAAACAAACTTCATACCTAAGTGATAACCCTGTCTAGACTACAATGTAATGTAGCTGAGTTTCGTGTCAAGACTTATGATTCGGAAAAAAACAGGACTCACCTGCACAAAGCAGAATATCACAAGTGCCAACACAGCTTTTGTCTTCATGCTAGCGTCCGTCTTCTTCAAATTCAGAGAGAAAATGCAATAAAACTTTTGCTTCTGTTCGCTGAGTTATATATGTACATCTAATCATTAACATACGCGGCGTGACGTACAAACAGACCAACTGTGCAAACACAAGAACTGTGTTTCATAATTCGTCAAATCGAGAAAAAAAACATCCAATTTGCCCCCATATTAATAAGCAATTTAGAAAACAATTAATTTTCAGTGTTCGCTACGTTTCTGAAGCAGATCTTAATTTGTCTGCCACCCCGTTTACCCACGAAATTCACATGAATAAAAAGAAAGAAATATATAAAATAACAAGTCACAGATTATGAAATAAATTAATGAAATAAATTGTTAAAATCCAGAATTCGAGTTCAATAAACACCTCCTAATTTTTACAACAAATATTTTTACGTCATCAAAGTATTCTCAACGATAAATACGTAGTAACATTTTTATTAACCTATGTGATGATATAAACCCAAACAAATTATGATGTGTAAATGTAAAAATAAAAATTATTGCAAGCCAATCCCGTGTTTGACGAACAAGTTTCCTTATTATTCTCTGTGTTAAACAGATAAAATCCGACCTTCCAGCAGTTCAGCAAACAAGCCACTATAGTAGCAATATTGTTCTGATTAGCACGCAATATTTTCGTGTGCTCTAATTTAATGTCATTCAGACATGTGTACTGTGTCGTTTTGAGAACGTAAGTTATTGATACATCACAAGGACACAACTGTTTGATAACATTATGGGAACCCACGTTTGTTTTCGAATGAAGTTACGTGCTCTGTAATTCTAATTCAACTTTTAGTTTTATCTCACTAAACATCCGAATATTATGAAACAGACTCACAACCTGACTTAATAAAAAACTATTACATATATACGAAACATTTATAGCACCTAAATTTAAATCAGATGATTTTATATTTATATAAAAATTCTATCAAATATTATAATTATACAAGTCAGCGATATTTATTTGTTCAAAATATCACTTAATATCAAATTATATTCACTTCATAGTTGACAGATATAGGTAGTAGGCTGAGTCAAAACATTTAGAAGTTTAGAAAACTGATTTGCAAAGCAATATTTCATACAAATCCTGTAAAGAGATATTTATTACTTATCAATATTAAAATTTTCACACGATAATTGAATAGATTAAGCATGCCAGTCTATTTAAAATAGAAGAAATAACAGAGGTTAGGTTATCAGTAATGCACTGAGTCATACTAAATTCGAGTCTCGGCTCTAAAATAAGCTATTCTTATTTGTTTAGTTTTACTCAGCCCTGCCCAAGAGATAGTCTTTTAAAATTGGCCTCAATGGTTCCTTCACATTCCCTTACTGCTCACGGTTTATGACACCTAAAACTTAGTAGGATTTGAGGTTCTCATGGCG